CCTTTGTCTAAATCCACTGGTTGTAAGGTCAGGACATTTTAATCCTCAATCTGGCATTTACATGACTTCTCTGTGTGACAGGAACTGAGAGTTGGTAGGTGAGCAGGACAGACTCAGCTCTTGTCTCCATGGAGCTGGTCCTGACAGCACAGGTAGACATGACTCACACACAGAAACATTAAGACAAACTGTGGTAAATGATATTAAAAAATAAAGGGCAATACATGAGTATAAAGCAGAGAGCTGTGTTCCATTCCAGGAGTCAGGAGACATTTGTCAGAAGAGCTTTGTTAAAAAAATAAATTTAGGCTGTAATAAAGAATAAAAAGCACTTATGTGAGCACAAAGAATTGCAACCTGGGAGATGCAGATCCAGGTATCAACCCAACCTGTGCTAGGAGAGAACAAAAAGCTTATAAAGACAAAAGCCATAGTGTGACAGTTAATTCAAAAAGGATTGGACAAGTGGGTGATGCAACTCTTAGGTAAGTGTTGACATGGAAACAAGAGGGGAGTGGCAAGTTCCAGGTTGTACTCCTACAGCAAGCATGAAAGTCCAAAAGTCCAAACTTCACTGGTGCGGAAGTACATAACCCTGACTCCCCTACTGACTCCCTGATATCAGTGACTCCGTTTTAGATATTTCAGTCCATAGTCTTTCAAACTGACATCTGGCTGATATAAAAGGGGGTAGCAATGTTTCCAGAAGGCAAGGGTCATGCGTCCTTTAAGAAGTGAACTGGAGCACAAACTGAAGAGGGAGGGCAGGAAAAGGGATGGGCCGCACTTGGTCTCATGTATTGTATTCGACAAAGATTTTAGTCTTTATTCTAAGAGCAATGAGAAACCAGTGGAGAGTCTTGGTCGGTATAGGAGTGCCATGCTGATGATGTGATGGTAACAGTGGTGAGGAGACCAGGACGACAGTGATGTTGATGATGGACAGATGTTGACTGAGATGCTGATGGAAATGATGATGTTGGTGAAGAGTCCAGTACCAGTGCCTGCTGGGAAGGCAGAGGCAGGAAGACCATCAGGAAACTGACGGAATGACGATGGAAACAGCACCTGATGTAGAGTGAGACACATCTATGCTCTGCTACTTATTTGCTGGGCAACCTTGAGAAAATACATTGACCACACATGTGCCTTCCTTATCCTCAGAAACTGAAATGATGTCTAAAAGCGCCTGACACCTGGTAGTCGCAGTCTTCATTCCCTTCACTTCTCCCTGACATTCAGTGCACAACAGACATGTGATGGTGAGGCCCGGGGTGCAGCTTCCCTCCATACCTCATTCTTACAGCCTGTTTGGCCAACCACCATGGCCAGTTGCTGAGGGACATTGTATTGCTGCCATTTAGATCATTCCCTCCAACCTGGTAGTCCTGTGGGAACAGCCATGTGAGGTGGGGGTTCTGCTGGGACTCTTGAGGCCACCTGTGCCACTGCCTGCTGCCCACAGCCTGATGCTCCTGAACTTTGTTCTGATACCACAATGAGTAACTCCTGTCTCACTGCCAACTCTTCGGGGATGCAGCAATGGAAACTCTGCATGTCTGGGGAAAGACGTCTTCTTATTTATCCTGAGTCTTATCACAACGTGATCTGAGCCTTGGTTTCTCACATGGAACTTATCTTGCCAGCTCAATGAGCTGTTCCTATGAGATCATGTCCCTGGTGCTACATGCAGGAGATGCCCCATAAGAAGTCTGTGTGCAGTCACTATTCACTTACCTCTCCTTCGGGGGATAGGACTTGCGGGTTCTGTCCAAGTCCTTTTGGTGCTTTGAATATGTTTGCATTTAGCCCATCTGTGGAGTGCTGACTGCAAGCTGACATGGTCCTTGCAGTCTGGGATCTCAGCCAAAAGCTGACCCCATTCTCCTCTCCCCCTTGCTCGTGGTCTGCTTTGGGCAAACTAGCTCCTTCCTTCTGCCCTTTATTTAGAGACTAGCTCCTTGGCTGAACTTGCCTACTTCTGCAGTCTGTACCTACAAGTCTAACTATACAGAACTGGAAAAATATGCTGCACCAGATAGCTATTCCCCTGTTCCTCTTTTAACTTCCTGAAACAACATCCTGACTGTAGCTGTATAAAATAAAGTGTATCTGATTATTAGGGGCTCTTGCAAGCCATCAGCTTGCAGAGACTTCCCAATCCCATCTTTGATTCAGGTCTCCTTTATTTTTCATTTCCCACAATTTTCCCTCAGGTCACCGGCCGGCAACACCCATCCACAGTTTCAGTTTATCTCCAGCTTCCTGGAGGGTGCCTTATAGCTGGTCCTTGGACAGGGACAATCCTGAGGCTTTTGAAATGCCACAAATGGAGAAGGTTTTATTACTAAAGTGACATGTAGATGCACTAACCTGTGTTGCACACCTGCCCTGTGTCAGTACATATGTGATCTCATGTAGCACCCAAAATGCTGGCAGGTAGTGCCATTCTGTCCCATAAAGTGTGCAAAGAATAGAGGGGGATGAAGCAGTTAAAAGTTGTGGGGTCACCAGCCAGGAAGGGGCAGTGCTAGGTCATTCTCACTGTGGCCAACACATTCCACCTTCCAAACAGGGCTGATGGCAGGGAATTACATTCCTGTGTGAGTCTGCATCTTCCCAGGAAGGGCAGCCTGGGTGGGAGTGCCTGGGGCAGGTGAGGCTGATGATGAAAGAGATTGTTTTATGTACCTTGTAGGTCATACAATGATTCTCAACAGTCAGGCACTCTTTATTAATATGCTTAGCAGCTCAGTCATCATGGAGTTACTCCCTTTCTGTTTCCCTGGAGATGTTGCCTGTCACTGAAGGACTGAGCTTTCAGCCACCTTTTTACTGAGGGGTTGTCATTTAACAGAATTTCCTCTCAGGGAATTTGCATTCTAAGAAGAAAAAGGCTGACAGCCAGGGGCCAGGAGGGAATTCTGGGGGGCTGACAGGAGAGAGGACCTAGTCTCCAGCCTAACTCTACAACAAAGGGTGCTCCTCAGAACACATATGAGGGCAGGGGAAGTGCAAAGGGACACCCTGGAGGGTGCAGACCTGGAAGAGAAGAGAGAGGCAGGGTCAGCCTTCTGCATTTCAGTTTCTCTGGAGAAAAGAAATGTGCTTTCTCAGAACAGCCTGTAGAGTCTATCATATTCTGGCATCAGGACATGCACTGTGGTCCTCCTGCAGATGCTTTAATGGACCCTCAAGGGGGGCATGGTCCCTGGGATGGGGTTGATGAGGGTGTTCTTTGGGGAGCAGGGCCTTTGACCAGCTCTGAAGAGAACGACGCTCATGCTCAAGAAAAGACCTTGTGGATGAGAGGCATGAGTCTGGGTCCAGCCCCCTGGGTTACCGTGGCAGCTATCCTAGCTCTACTGTGATGGCCCAGGGACCACTCATCCTCTCTGTGCCTTATCACTTCAGCTGCCCTCCAGACGCATGAAGGTAGAAAGGCCAAGGCTATGGGCACACTTAGGAAAGAGGCTGCCTGAGTATAGCAGCTGTGTAACCCGCATTAGGCCTCCAGGACAGATGCATTGTCATCACGAACCCCAGATGGAGCCATGGAGGCCCAGAGAGGCAAAGTAATTAAACCAAGACCACACAGTTAACTACGAAAGGCAGAGTCAGGGCTCCTCTGAAGTCTTCAGACTATGCACCGCTGAGAGAGAGGGGAGGCAGGAGGCAGTGACCCATGTGATCAGAAAGCCCATGGCTGAGGGAGAGGCAGGTATTCACGCACTGGTTCTGGTCTAGGTGGCATTCATAACGTGAGGCTGGGCCTCTCATGCTCAGTGTCTGAAATTCCTGTCTCCCTCTGATCCTAATAACAGTCTGCCTGTGTTGAGGAAGGCATCATCTCCACAGCAGCTGCCTCTGCAGGTTAAGCATAGTGTCAGCGGGGCCTTAGGGTGATGGGCTGGGGCACAGCAGGCAGCATGGGACAGGGGCCCCAGGGAGACTGAATAGTTAGTGTAACAACTTCTGCAATAATGACAAGGGGATCTGTGGAGAAAAAGGGCTGAAGCCTCTGTAGAGTGTAGTAGGAAGTAAGGGCTACACACTGCACTAAATAAAAACCTCTGGATCTTTGTGACATTTCCATGAGGTCTGTGTAGGCAGCATTCACATTTCACAAATAAGAAAACAAATGTAGATAGGTGAGCAAAGCTTCTCAAGGCCACACAGCCAGGACTCCCAGAACATGAAGCCTGCTCACCTGAGCCTCAACCTCACCCCTCTGACATCCTCACCCTGGGTTCCAGCCAAGCACACAAAACTGTCTACACCTCTGAACAATTTGAGATGTTTCATCTGCCTGTGAGTCTCTCATCCACTTCTCTCTACCACTTTCTGCTCTTTCCCTAGCTTCTGTGGGAGTCTCTGTCTGTCTGCCAGATCATGATAGAGACTTCCCATCACATAGGGACCCCACACATGAGTGGCTGAGTACTTTATCATGTAGATTCCTAGGTAGGAGGGGTGTGGGACACACACACACACACATGCACGCACGCATGAACACACATGCTACCCCAGGCCTGAGGCTGTGTCCCAGAGCTCTGTGAGAAAAAGTATGAGCATGCCCAGGATCCTCCAGCCTGACCTCATTTCCTGAATCACCCATTGTGTGCAGCCCCAGTCAGAGGCTGGGCTTTGTCCAGAGCCCAGCAAACCTAACTCCTACACGCTGCTCCTTCCTTTCTGGCAAAATGGCCTGACTCTCACCCCTGAATTCAATCCAATGTGGTATCATATACTCCCTGCTAGCCAACAAGACACGTTTGGGGGACTTCTCAAGTGGTCAGTTACCAATAAGTCATGGCAATGGCTGATCTGTTTAAGTGTACATCCCCCACACATAGCCAGGATAGCTGGCAGAGCTGTGTACGAATGCAGGAAGCACAAGTTTGCATTATGGTTTTTATTTTTGTTTAACAGTCATTCTTAAGGCCTGCCCAAGCCCAACACATCTGCAGAGTGGCATCATCAGAACCCCTGCAAGTGAGATCCATATCCTGGGCAGGTACAGAACCAATCACATGTGGTAAAGCCTGCCACTCCTGTCAAGAAGCATGGAGGGTCAGTTGGCACCCTGATTCCTGGGTCAGAAGCCTGGCCAGCTTCTGAAACGCTCATCAGCAAGCCCCTTTGCATGTCCCAGGCAGCAAGTAACACTTCTGTCAGCCTCAGGGGCCTCAGGGCATTCATCTCCTCCTTTGCTGGCTCTTCCTTCTCCGAGTCTCCTGGCTGTGACCACGCTGGCTCTGAGCTCCTGTGGCTCTGACCTTCCTGTGGAGACACAAGCTGTGGCAAGAGTGCCACCATCTGCAGCTGGCTAACATCCTGCTCTCAGATCTGTCGTACATTTTCTTCCACATGCTCTTCTCCTCTAGCAATCTGGGCAGCTGGGCCCTGGGCTATGTCACTTGTGATGTTCTTCTCACAGACTCTATTTTCACTGCCTACTCCAGAACCATCTTGTCTTTCATGGGTACTGTGCTGCATACTTACCTGGCAGTCACTCATCCTCTATACTACCTCTTCTTCATGTCCTGTGAGACTGCCCGGAAAGTGGTGGCCCTCATCTGGCTGGTGGCCTGCTTCTTCCCCACATTTCTCACTTGGCTCAGCAAGATGCCATGTTGGAAGAATGAAGGGCCTCAGGCATCCTGTAGCTGAGCCTGAGCACCAAGTTGGGCCATGGCCCCCTGGTCACTGTCACCCACTCCTGAATCTTGTGCAATCTTTTTCTATGCACAGCTCTATCACCTACTGCTTCTGGAGGATCTATGCAGAGTCCAGGGATTCAGGCATCTGGGTGCAGAGCTGTTCCTGGGATAGGGGCAGCTGCTTATCCACTCAGTGCTAATCACACTGTGTGTTAACCCCATGGTCGTGTTTCCCCTGGACAAGTACCACCACATTGAAGCCAGGACTTATGTGTGCTCACAACAGCCAGCAGCGAGGTGCTCATGGTGCTTCCTTATGCTGTGTTCCCATACCTGTACACACTCTGCCACTGGGGGCTGCTGGGGATGGTCTGGGGCCACTTCTCATCCAGGAGGCACAGTGATATCATCACTATTTCTCAGATTACAGACTTTACAGTCTAGCAGGCTGAGGTTCAGGAGTATATAGTGGATGCATCAGCATCCAATTATGGCCAGTTCTTCCAAACTGTGAAGTGTAGTTGTGCAACAAGACCTTTAAGATGAACTCAGTTGAAAGTTTTCAACATTTCAACAGTTTTTAAGTAGAGAAAGCTGTATTTTAATGACACTGCAACCTTCCTTGAAAATAGAAGCAAGTAAAGGTGACTCAGCAGAGCTCTGGTCAAAGTGGGATGAGGCTCCAATGTATACCCTTCTAGTGGCTTCGTCCAAACCCTCCACTGATGAAACATAGTTGCTGACAAATACACAGAAGCCAAACATTTCTGAAAGTTGGGGCCTGGAAAGTAAGCAGGCAGACCTGCTGAATCTGGGGCCATATGCTTAATTTTGGCAGCTGCTTAAGATGTGGTAAAAAGGAAAACAAATACAGGACACACTTACTGTGAGGTATGTCATGGAGATCTATGAAGCAAAAACCCCAGGAGATTACAGTCTCAGAACCAGAATAAATGACACTAAGAGAATAGCAGAGAGTTGCCTGCCTTCTATTGGTGCCATGCAGAAGAGGGAGAGAATTCCTTGAAAATTCTTAAGTAGAAGCCACTCTCCAGACAGGATTAAAGCTAGGTTTCAAATTATCTTAGTGGTCAAAAAACCTTACTCTGTGGTTGGTGTGGTTTGTCTGGAGAATCTGAGCTTCAACTCATGCTTCAGAGAATTTCCACAGTAAAAGAACCTTAAAGAAAATAAGTTGCACTTAGTTAATAGTCACAAATATGGCACTATGAATGAAAGTGAGCAGAAACAATAAGATAGTAGCATTGTATGTCATGTCCTTGAATTATCAGACACTTAATTAATATAAAAATGTTCAATATGTTTTAAGACATGAAAATATGAGCAAAGGATAACACATTTTTAAAATAACCAAGTAGATTAGGAAAATAATTAGATAGAACTTCTAGAAATAAAATATAAGAATTAAAATTATAAAAGATGGGTTAGATTAAATATAGGTTAAACAGTATATTAGACACAACTGGAGATAGATTTTGCAAACTGGAATATAGGTTCAAATAAAATATCTAAAATTGGGTACAAAGGGACAAAGAGATGAAAAATACAAAAGAGGGATTAAGCAACAGAGGTTAGAATAGAAAAAATTAACTTACATCTAATTTGGGAATATAATAGAGAAAAGGTGGAAGGGGAAATATTTGAAGAGATAATAGCAGATAATTTTTCAGAATTGTTGAAAGATATGAAACCTCAGATCCAAAAATTTTAACCAGTTACACATAAGATAAATGACAACCCACCTGAAACACATCATATGAAACTGCAGGAGAGACTGTAGGTCACATATTTTATTAATTATTTTGTTTGGAACCCTAGGTCCCCCTATGCCTTTTGCCACCTGCTGACTGCCTGTAAGTCTCAGTCATTGGAAGAGGCTCCTTAGATGTGCAAGCCAGGCTCGTTGACCCAGTGTTGAGAGTGCCCTCTGCAATGCAACCCTAGATGGGCAGATTGTAGTTCCAGGGAGTTGCAAGGTGTGGGCTTGGTTTTTACAAAGTTAATGTAGTTTAGGTTTTTGCACCAGTACCATGCCTGCAACCACTTTGCAAAAACACCTTAAAGACACTGTGGCCAGCCACTGCTCGCCTCAGGCCCACAGTTCCCTGAGAGCTGCCTAAGAGAGTCTGCACTGCAGGGTAGCTTGGTGCTCACAACCAAAAGTTGCCTGAGCCACCACGGTCCATCTGCTGCTATAAAAGGCTTCCAAACAGGGCTGACCTCTGGGTAGCCAAGGGTGTCCCTGGCGATGCAGTACTAGCTGTGTGGGAGCTGGAACCCAGGGCGTCACCAAGGTTGTGCACATGCATGGATTTTACTATACCAATTCAGTCTCAGATTTGGTCTTTTGGGGGTAGGTTCAACCTAGAAAAGATGGCACCTTCCTGTAGATTATACGTGAAGCAGGCTCCACACAGGTACAATGGCAGCTGGTCCCTCCAGCCCTTGTCCCAAAGCCACACAACTCAGTCTTTCCCCATATATCTCTGGTGCCTCTTGAGTTGCTGCCCCTTCACCGGAGACCAGATGAGTGTCTGAAAGCGAGTGAGTCTGTGTGTGGTCCGTTTAAGAGGGTGTCTGAGTTTCCAGCCACCCTTTGTCTCACCGGGATGGACAGAGTCCTCACTGATTTTCACTGGCAGATGTGGGAATTCCTTTTCTTGGCACAGCACCCCTGGGCTGGGGAGCCTGGTGTAGGGCTGGGACCCCTCTTTATTTTTGGGGGGACCACCACCAAGGAAGTGTCCCTCTTGGTGTTCAGCCACTATCTGTGGGTTTGGGGTCAGCCTGTCTCACATCTCTGCCCCTTCTACCTGTTTTGATATGGCCTCTTTTTTACATCCTTTATTATAGGGTTTCTGTTCAGTTAGTATTCAGCTGATGTTTAGGTTGATTTTTCTGTAATTTATTTGTAATTTTGGTGTGACCCTGGGAGGCAGTAGGCATAGCATTTACCTAATCCACCATGTTGGACCTTCCTCTCAAAAGACAGAATTTTTAATTCAGCAAAAGAAAAACAAATTCTTCACATATAAGGGAACCACATAAAGCTATCAGAAGATGTCTCACCAGAAACCTTGCACACCAAGAGAAAGTAGGATGATATGTTTAAATTGCTGGAAGAAAATAAAAAAACCCTGCCAACCAAGAATACTTTACTCAACAAAGTTGTCTTTCCAAAATGAAACAGATAAAGACTACCAAGTAAACATAACCTAAGGGACTTCATCACCACTAGACCTGCCTTGCATAATGCTGAAAGGAGTTCTTCAAGTTGAAATGAAAGGATGTTAATTAGTAACATGAAGAAATATGAAAATATGTAGCATCCTGCTAAAGGTAAGTATATAGTCAAATTCAAAATACATTAATAACATAATATGGTGGTGTGTTAGACACTTAATTCTAGTAGAAAGTTTATAGGACAAAAGTTTTAAAAATAATTGTAGCTACAATAATTTGTTAATGGTACAATATATAAAAGATGTAAATTGTGACATCAAAAACATAGGATGTGTGTGTGTGTGTGTGTGAGTGTGTAAAGGGTAGAGTTTTCACATGAAATTCAAAGTAAGTTATCAGCATAAAATTTACAACTTATCTTCAACTGCTATATCTATAAGATGTCTTATGTAAACATCATGGTAACCACAAAGCAAAAAACTACAGTAAACATACAAAACATAAAGAGAAGGAAATCATTGCATACCATTATGGAAAAATCATCAGTTCTCAAAGGAAGGCAGCAAGAAATGAAACAAGAGAACTATTAAAAAGCCAGAAAACAATAATAAGGCATTCATAAGTACTTATGTATCAATAATTACTTTATGTAATAAATTGTTTAAATTCTCCAATCAAAAGGCATGAAGTGCCTGGGTGGATTAAAAACCAAGACTAAACTACATGCTGTCTACAAAAGACTTTCTTCAGCTTTAAGGACACATATAAGTTCAAAGTGAAGGGATGGAAAAAGATATTCCATGCAAAGGAAAACCAAAAGACAGCAAAGAAATAGCTATACTTATATCAGACAAAATAGGCTTTATGCCAAAAATGGTAACAAAAGGCAAAGATGGTCACTATATAATGATGAAGAGGTCAGTTCATTGAGAAGACAAAACAGTCATAAATATATATACATCCAGCATCAAAGCACCTAAGTATATAAAGCAAATACTAACTGATCTAGAAGGAGGAACAGACAACAATAATAGTAGGGGAGTTCAATACCCTACTTTCAACAATGGAAGACTGTCTTGAAAGAAAATAAAAGAAGAAACATTGAACTTGAACTTTAGACCACATAAACCTAACAGACCTATTCAGAATATTCCATCCAACAGCAGCAGAATACACATTCTTCTCAAGCACAGACAGAACATTCTCCCGGAGAAGCCATATGATAGAACACAAAACAGGTTTTGGAAAATTTAAGATTGAAATCATGCCAAGTATTTTTTCTGAAGAATCCTAGAAGAAAAGAGAACAATTAGTAGAGAAAGGAAATAATCAAGAGATTAATGACTGAAAATTGCCCAGAGAAAGGAAAAGATACAGACAGGCTTAATACAGACAGGGTACAAAACAGGATAGATAAAGGATGGGGGGCTCAATAGGTTGTATTAAGATTTATAGATAACAAAGATGAAAAAAAATAGTGAAAGCAGATCAGTTATAAACAAATAAGAATCCGACTGATCTCAGACTTTTCAATGACAACACAGAATGCAAGAAGTCCCGGAAGTAACATTTTCAAAGTGTAGAAACGAGAATATTAACCCAAACCATCAGTTAGTGTTTGAGTGTGAAATAAAGATGTTTTCAGACCTCTGAGCTCTTAAAAGGCTTACCATACATATCTTCTTTAAAACATTATTAAAGGAAGCATTTCAACCAGATGAAAAGTAAGTCCAGAAGGACGGGTTGAGTTATGTGAGAAAGTATGTAAAGAAAACAACAATAACAACAAAAAAATCACCTTAGTAAATTTTACTGTTGATGAAATAGAGAACTTACAAATAAAACAAAAACTTATCTTAGTAAAAATCCAGAACTAAAATATAGTCTCAAAATATTTAAAAATGTATGTATGACCTGGAAGGCAGGGTGGGGGTAGAATGAGAGGGAAGTGAGCGTTTGCTAAGGTGCAACCCAGGTACGCACCTTCCTCTCCTGGATCTAATGAGAGTCCCTCAGATACCAGGTGAGCCTGGTATCACCGGCATAAAGGTAACCTACTAACACCAAGCACCCAACCAGGTGTTGCCCTTCCTGGCTGGCCTGATACTCCTCTCCTATCTCAGAGACACCCAGTGGCCTGGACTGGGGAAATTCCTCTGCCCTTCAGGCAGTCCAGCTGAAACCAGAGGGAGCCCTTGTGGGAACAAATATATAAAACAGGCAACAAACAAAGAAAACAAAACATCCCTCACCCCATACAAATAAACTCACTGCAAAAGCTTCTAAAATTAAAATGCTTTTGAAACCATAGTCCATAAAAGTAGTACAGGGC